TCCCGGCCTCACCACCTTCTCCCCCCCGCTAGGCTGGGAAAGCCGAGATGAGGAAGGTTCCTGTGCCGGCCAACAGGTACACTCCGCTGAAAGAGAACTGGATGAAAATATTCACGCCTATCGTGGAGCACTTGCAACTTCAAATCCGGTTTAATCTGAAAACAAGAAACGTTGAAATCAAGGTAAAGAGAGCTCCTCCTCCTGCTTTCCCAGCTAACACCCGGCACGCAGGTTGCTGGTTCCGCGGGGCAGAGGCGAGGGAAGGGCTCTAAATCCCCCGTAGTGCTCGGGAAAATGGCAACTGCGTGCCTTCACCTAGCCAGAAACCCCTCACGGGGCATCAAACCAAAAGCGGTCAGTTATCGCTTAGAAACGAGTACTTAACGTAAGTAAAGTTCAGAAGTGTTAATCTCTTCTAGAAGGGGCCAGCATAAGCTGGGGGAGGGTGGTTCAATTTTTGTAGGAGAAGATTATGTGCTCGAGAATTAAGGAAGAAAATGTGTTAGATGTGCTTTTGGAATGCAATGTTTTCCAGATATTTAAAGCTACTAAATGCTTACGTGACAATTTTGAGTTAACGGTGTCTTTTGAGGGGGCCGCCAAATCTTCTGATGTCTTTTGTTTGTGGCAGAAGGGCCTGTAGTTTTTGATTTTTCTTTAGTGGATTGCACTGAAATAGCTTAGGGTACAGATATCTATATATAATTGTAAATCTTGTAGATGCTCATTCTTCATTCTTATTCCCGCTCAGGAATATTCAGAGTAGCTGTTTTGAATTGTATATCCACAGCTCATGCTACGCCTTTGACATACGAGTTACTGTATTAGCAGTGTTGGTCTATGAGATTGTATAACGTAATGGTGAAAATACAGACACCAACGGTCATTTTGCTTCCTAGCCTTGAAATCTTACCTCAGGTTTGATGGCAGCAACTAGAGGAGGAAAAAAATGTATCATTAGTGACAAGTTGGCCAGCTTATTAGGAAAGGTGAGAGACCTATCCCTTATTTACACTCCCTGGGAATAACCTGAAGGGCGGAGCAGGAACACTCTTGCAATAACTCCACCGAATAATGACACAGGTGAACAACCTGGGATTTTAACACCGCTTTTTGGGACGGAATGGTGTCTGGTTGAAGAGCGGGTAGTCGTGTTCTTGATCAAGCTGACTGAATTTTGTCCATGTCTATCATGAGTATAAAACAACTGAAAACTTTGAAATGAGTTTCTGTCATTTCTTTGACACGGCGTGGAAGCTGTAAATGCCATTTCAGAATGCCTTTTATCTATTCCAGATGTTAACATAATTAACTTCCTTAATTACTGTTTCCTGCTTTTCTTTTCTTGCAGCTTCAAAGACTGCTCTTTTCTAAGTTGTCCCTGTTAGGATCTGTGAACACAGATGCGCACAGGCTGTTCCCCTGGTGGCAGAGGAATGCTTTGGCCCAGTTTTAAAACATGAGCTGAAGAAATGCCCCCTGGCAGCAAATCTTGTGGCCTCTGCTGGGGACACACACACACACACACACACATGTATAAAACTTAAACACTCCAGCACTTGCTGATGTGTCAGGTCGATTTGTTCCTGTTCCAAGTTTCTTGTTTCTCTCGTCCCATACGTTTTATTGAACCTGTCCGTGTTTCTGATCACCTGCTAAAACATCTTCAGGATATTGTCATTAGAATAACTTTCCCTCCTCAAGCTGTCTCCTGCCATCCTTCTCTTTTGTTCTGCGTTGCAGTTTAGTTTGGGCTTTTTTGGTCGGGGTTTGTTTGTTTGTTTGTGTTTTCTTCATAAAAAAAGGTTCTTCTTGGCCACCGGTGGCGGGGATTTTCAGCAGTTTCTCTTTTCCCTCCCCTCCAAACACAGGCTCTGGTAGTGTTGGTGCGTTCTTGTGGCTGAGGGTCAACATTATAAGGAAGCACAAAGTTACCGTTTGGGTCTTTCAGTAAAACATAATATAGGAGCATTACCCAAATATGGCTTTTTAATGGTTAACCTTCATCTCTCAGATTTTTCAACCCCGGATCCTATTTGCATGGTCTTAATTTGCAAACATAACTTCTTGTCTTGCAGACTTGTCAAGAGACAAAGGATCTCAGTGCCCTAACGAAAGCAGCCGATTTTGTGAAAGCGTTTATACTTGGCTTTCAAGTAGAGGTGAGTCTCCCACCAGCTCGATTGCGAGATTGCTTGAATTTGCTTGCATGAAGTCTTTGGCCTCTCTGCAAATTACAGTAAAAAAGAAAGAAAAATCTTTAGGTGGTTTTCTAGAAGTAAATTTGTTTGAAATTGTGACTGGAGTGGAAGTCTGATTTCTTAAGCTAATGCAGAATAAAAAGGTAATCTTCAAACAGCACGTAATTAAAATTACGAGATGGAGGAAATACTTAATGGTACGTGAGAGGCAAGCAGGAAATTCTATTCTGTCTGGCTCTGAGGTGCTCTGCGTATGTAGAGACTGTTCATTTTGCTTTAGTCCCAGTCAGTAGCCGTCAACCTGTTCAAAACTCAAAAATTCCTTAGAGGAAACAAAACCGCTTGTTGCAGTATCGTACAGGCTGCTGGCTGCTGCAGCCCTGTACTGACTTCACTGGTATCGGTGGGTCCGCGGTGAATGCGGGGGGTCTAAGCATTTGCAGCGTTCTCTACACAGAAATAAATGCTTATATTGCTATTGAAAAAATAGCCGATCTGACTTCAGCTGACTGTTGTTTGGTATGTTAAGTGGGGAAATGCTACTGATGGTCATGTTTGTATGTGTAAAGACAACATACAAGCTTGCAACTCTGCTGTGGTACTGTAACAGTCATGCCAATAACCAATCTCTTAATATTTTAGGATGCTCTTGCTCTCATCAGATTAGATGATCTTTTTCTAGAATCATTTGAAGTTACGGATGGTGAGTAGTTTCTGCTGCAGTAATCAGGTAGTTGTGTGTACCATCTGCGAATGCATTTTTTGGGTTCCCCCCCTTTACTTGTGTCACTTTTCCCCAGGGATCAGGAAAACCTTGATGCCAATACACAGAATTACTGTCTAGGCACTGGCAGCCTGAAAGGGTTGTCATTTTGGCAAGATGTCCCAACCACCCCCCCCAACCCTTCAGCCTTAAAAGCATGTCACTTGGTCAGGTTGATTGGATTTTTCTTGTCACAGTGTAAACGTTGTTTTAAACTTAAAGGTGACGTGGAATGTTTTGGGGAGTACATCCACTCGATTTTTATACTGGAACGGGCTTTGTTCCTCCCACTATCCTGACAGCGAGGGGTGGGAAGTACGCAGCAGCAACGTTTATTTTTTCAGGTATTACTAGGACTCCTTGGAGCAGGCTCTGAGGAGAACAGCACCTACATGTGATCTGTTTCATTTCTGCGGGTGTTAACTGTGCGCTCTCTGCCTCTGTTTCTTTCCTCAATCTTAACTGCTCAGTAGTGAAGAGAATGCCTTCCGCTGCAGTTCTGTACGAGAATTTCTCTCTGATGCCCATGGTCACGTACCACTGGCTGTGATTTTCACTTCTAGTCATATAGAGGGATACAGATACATATATATTTCACCTATAGTGAAGTTGCTTTCATATTAAAATGAGTTATTTCCAGTAACTTGAACAAGGGAAGCATTACAGAAATACACACCACCGCTGTTTTACTGAGTGTGTTATTCTCGTTTTAGTCAAACCTTTGAAAGGAGATCATCTGTCAAGAGCAATAGGGAGAATAGCAGGGAAAGGCGGAAAAACAAAATTCACGATAGAAAACGTAACCAGGACACGAATAGTTCTTGCTGACGCGTAAGTATTGACTGACTTCCTTCTAGGCAGAGCACAGTCCCTAAATGAGTCCATGTCCCCTTCCAGGAACTAAGAGAACTTGAAGAGCAGTAGTAAGACAAATGATCTGAGTGTTACTTTTAATGAACGCTAACTGTTTGAGTGTTTATTTGACAGTGTCACCAGCACACCTAGCGATTCTACACAGCCTAAGAATTCCTTCCTATGAATAATCAAAGTTGAACCCACCAACCCTGCAACAACATTTTCCTCCTGAAGCTGCTACACTGTTAAATTTGCAAATTGTAAATCTAGTTTATAAAGGATTTAGACGAGCACAGGTGGGATGTTGTAGGTTTTCCGATTTTGAGTGTGTGGGGTTTTTTAATTACAACTGTGGAAAAGGAACTGGTACCCTCATCTGAAATTCCAAGTTTATCTCTCGCCTCCAGCTTAGATGGTTTGTTAACTGTGTAATCACAGGGAGGTTTTTTTCTCCATTAACTAATGCTCCTTTGACTGCTTTTTCCAGGAAAATTCATATTTTGGGATCTTTTCAGAACATTAAAATGGCACGAACAGCAATTTGCAATCTAATTTTAGGTGAGTCCTGTTATCTCATCTTCTCCATTACCTATAAATAGGTCTTGCAGTCTGAGAAACTGCTTTCTGTGGGTCTTGCCTTCTTCCCTGGTGTGTCCACACCTGTGTCTGGGACCAGTAGCTTGCTGGGAGTTGTCATGTTGCCCTTAAGAGAAGGGTTTGGGGAAGCAGCAGGGAGCCCAGGGCTTGGTTTCTGGCTCCAAACCCCTCTCCATGGCGCAGGCGGAAGATTTTCTGGTTTTTGCTTTAGCTGCAGCATTCCCCGAGGAATTTCCGAATGCACTGCCTAGAAAGCCAAAGGGGCAAGCCACGCCAACAGCTTAACTCTGCCCTTGCAGTAACCTTGACCATCCAAGCACCCCTGGGCTTGTTCCTCCCCTTTTAACACAGACACGAGAGGAAAACTTCTGTTTCTGTGACACACATTATCTTGCTTGCTGACTGAATTTGTGCTTGCTTCTGCAGGAAGCCCTCCATCAAAAGTTTATGGCAATATTCGGGCAGTGGCCAGCAGAGCAGCTGAAAGATTCTGAGCTGCAGCGCGGCTGCACCACCAGGACTGGGAGCCGTGGTTTCGGCGCGCACGAGAGGCTTGGAGCTACGCAAGCACTCGGTCTTCCGCTTGATTTGGAAGCCCAGAAAGCTGGGACTGTTTGTGCAGTCTGATTTCATTCACACTTAGTGTTTCTGTATAATAACTTTTCATTAAAAGTTATTTTAAATTGGTTGTGTCTGTATCAGAAGTACGGGTACCTGATTGTACTTAAACTTATCCTCACGCAAAACCATGCTTCATTACTGACTTTGTGAACATCAAAGTGTTACAGAGACTGCTGTGAGGACTTCAGAAAGCCTTTGAGATGGAGCCTAAAGGAATCAGCATAGTTAAGTGTTCATAACCACACATCACGGAGCAGCGTCTTCCTGGAAAAAGGAAGCGTCAACTGGAATGCAAAGTTCAATGGCAGGCTGCCCAGCGTATCTCCGCTAGCGATGGGACCACGTATCACTAAAAATGGTAAGACGACAGAGGTAAAGAGTATATTTGAACTTAATCCTGGAATCTGCACCTATATCGATTTTATTTTTTTTTTAATTCTCTTGCAAATGATCTGCAAGGGCAGCCCAGTGAAGCCAAGAGCTTCCAGGTTAAATACGTGCCAGCGCACCAGAGCAGAAACTGTAAAGTGCCATGTCTCCTCCTTAAAATGCTACATGTGTGCAAGAGAGTAGGGGGAGAGATGACAGAGCCCAGCCACGGTCCCAGCCTGACTTAAATGTGGGCCCTTTTCTCCTGAGCCCGCCAGCCAAATTTGTTACCAAGTCTCTTGCAAAATAATTCAGTTTAGGTTTGTGAACGAAAACAAAAACTGAAATGAGATTATCAAAACCACTAACAAACGGAGTAACCATTTCTCTCAGTGTTTGAGTTTCCAGCGCAGCACTCCGCAGTAGGGGATTATTATTCTAGCCACATTCATTCAAGCCTTCCGTTGCTACGAGATTTAAGACTTGCCGAGTTACCCGAACGTACAGCTCTCGAGGTGTATAGGGGAGAGCGTGGCCGTTTTGAGCAGCTCAAGGTAAAACCAGGCACCTTCCTGGTCAGCGCATTTTCTGTTCGTTGGTTGCTTCTGTCATTTATCTCAATGAGCTGGAAAGATAAGGGGAGAGCGAAGCAAGGGCCCACAAAAGTAATCTACTCTTTGTTTGAAGGCAGGTGCACACCGATAGCGACTCAAGGCAGTGGAAAGGAGAGGGCAGCACACACAGAAGGCTCAGCAACTGCAACACAAAGAGCAACAGCGACCAGCCTCTGGGAAGGACAGACCTCCTACAGGGAGGACTGGTTTCGCCAGCAGAGGTCTTTGAGACCTCTTTCCTTGAGAAAGAAGCTGCCTTTCATTCCCCACCTACACTAAGAGTAGGGGTTATTTTTGTTTATCTTGTTTTTTAAGCCACCTTCACTTACCACAATCATTCTGAATGCAGTAGGACTTCAAACAAGGTATTTTATCCCATTTGGACATGGAGCAAAGAGAACCAGATGTGGCTTTAAGAAAAAAAAAAAATACGTAAGTGGTCTTGAAACACTGAAGTGAAGCCTGGAAGTATTCGGGGGAGTCTGCACCCTGTACAGTTTTTCAATAAATCTTTATAATCGGAGGGGACAAAACCGATGAACAGCAGGTTTTCTTTAGAGCAGGGTGCAGAGCTGCTTGAAGCTGAACAGGAAAGGTCTAGGTAAGTACCGAAGCCCAGCCAAGGTTCAAATATTTTATTTTGTATTCGTATAGTATGAAGGTTTTTATAGTTCCCACAACATATGATGTAGCATGCAGAGGAAAAACTAAACATTCAACATAAATCATTTTTCCCCACACAAACAAACAAAAAAAACCAACCAAAAAAAAAAAACCCAACAAAAAAGCCTCATCCCTCCCCTTCCAATCCCCCTAAGGAAATAACATTAGCACTAATTTCTATAATGCCGGCCAAGATATGCACAAGCAAGTAAGAGAAATCGAAAGCATTTGCTAAAATGTTTGTAACAAATACTTATGTACAAAAAATTCACAAAAGACTAGTTCCCCCTTGAAGCAGAGCACATGGCAGTTGACACTGGAACAGATGCAACCACTGGCTGGGATTATAAGCCACGTACTGATCCAGAGGAAGAAAAGTTACATGTAGTGGAGATTTTTGTTTTGAACATTAACATTTACCAAAGTTTGGCAACATTATCTTTTAAATTATGCAAATTATGTAAACAAGAGGAACATTTCAAATCGATCTACATGCAAAACTTCATGTCATGCAAGGACACCAAGCACCTGGATTTCTCTCTCACAGACAGAGCCCATGATGTGCAGCACTCAGTTGAAGGAACAGCTATGGCAGACAGGTGCTCGATTGAAGTAGGTTCAGACAACCTGCGCTTTCCACTGCTGATTATAAAACAATTGGTTTTTTAATAGAAAAACTAGTATACAGGAAAGATGTACTGTCCTAAAAAAATCTAGCAAATGTTTTTCTTCCAGCCAATAGTACCATTGCAGAAAAGGGAAGGGATGATATAAAGTTGTAAAACATGGCTCGCTACTTTTATATCACACAAATATATCAAGTTACCATCCGTTACAAATTATGATATGGACAAATCTAGAAAAGAAAAAATTCTCCGGGCAAAGGCCCGCAGAACCGCAAGAGGTATAAATTTAGATAGTGTGAAGTTTTCCTCCTCTATGGCATAGGTTAACAAGATTTTTTCCCCCTATATGAATCCTATATACATATATATATATAAAATATTACCAGTTATTTATGCTACCTGCAGTATTCTTGAAATGCAGAGGGGAAACTATCATGGTTGAAAGAACAGAATTTAAATGGCAAGAACATTTTAGAATCTAAGTACTGTATAAAATAAGTAGACGGGAACCCTGCACAGTTATGTCGATCCTAATTTCCTTAAGCTAAGCACAAGAGAAAATCATGAATGCGTCTAACACCTTGCGCAGCTGCATCTAAAATGAATCCAGAACAGCAGAGTCGCCTTAACTTCAGGACAGCTGTAACTGCTCCGCATTCCTAGGCGACGAAATCTAGCGGCCGTCAAAGCATTCCGCAGTTACTGTGTGCGCGCGAGGGCTAGTTCTTGGCAGTAGCGTTAAACTATATTCTCATATTAAGTAGAACTGTACTAAGTTACTTAGCAAAGAGACACAGTCCCTGGTAATATATTAACAGGTATAAATAAACTTAGTCTCCTGTGTTACAAAAAATGTAATTAAGGTGAATTAATAAGAAGCAATGCTTTGTCAGCCAGTCAATATATAGAAACATCTGAACAGTCACAGGAAAAGGAAAAGAGTTGACCTAACACCCAGTTAAAATTTTACATTCTTCTACTATATATATAAAACTGTGTGAAATAAAAGTAAGGATGTATATCCATATATTGAACTGTTAATATTCTGCTTGGCACTTTGTACTCTAGTTTTGTTTCTGAATCAAGTATATTAAATTAAAGCCCACCTAGCTACTACATATAGAAAGCTACATATATATCTATATATAAATACACACACACATATATATATATAGATATTTCCTTGTTATAAAAGATGAAGAAAAATAAATTAAAAAGCCAACCCCTTCCCTTTCTCCACCACACTGATATGCTCTTTCCATCTTTGCTGTCCTTCAGACTTTAAAGTGCTACACTGAGTTATTGAGAGAATCAAAGTTCAATAACACTTAGTTGGCTTCATGAGGCTCATGTTGGAAAATGTGGCTTCACAGAGAAAAATACTTCCATTTAAATACACAGAGAGCATTGCTGGACGTCTTGAGCAGATCTTCAGAGATGGAGAAGAAAGCAAAAGTGTTGGGTGGTGCCCTACAGAGTCACACATCTACGACCATCTTTTTGTGGATATCTAGGCCTCCTACAACCTGGGAGAAAAAAAATAAGCGCTCGTGAATAGATGAGAACGGGAAGTTAGCAAGAATACAAAGAACGCACCTTATTCAGAAGATGCATTCAGGTCAATCGTAATTACAGCACTTCCCCGGCCTCCCCAAACTAATTTACATTTCACGAGTACTGTGTGGTATGTGAATGAATTATGTATGAACCAAGGCAATTATGAGAGTACCATTTACACACTCAAGGGCTTGAAAAACAGCCTAAGTTACACCATTTGGGCTCTCCTCCCCCATCTCATCTTCTGACCTTGTATTATGTTTCTGCACGTTCAATGAAATGCTGACTTGACTTCTACAACACCCTGTAAAACCGTGAGAAGCACAGGGCCTTAGGAAAGGCGGCAGCGTTTCCGACAAAACTGCGTGCACCCAAAAAAGAGTTACAGTGTTCAAAGGTGCGCAGTCCATGCACAGAGAAGGGAAAAGGAAAGGTGCGATGTCAGAGGAACTTTTTAAAATGCGGAAACAAAATTCAAAGACCAAATGGTACGGCCAAATGCCGTATTTTTGCAGACAGATGGCACTTCAAAGAAGGTAAAATGCAAGAATGAGAGGATAAGAGATTGTAGGAATGAAAGGGGTCTTGTCATGAGGCCAACAAACACTGAAGAAATTAAAAGAAACACAGAGGAAAAATCAACTAGTAGTACAAGACAGGAAGTCTGGGCAGAAGCCCAAGGACAAAAGGAAAGAGAGGGCAACATCGTATTCTATGGATGGCTGGAAGACAACAGCCCAGTGCAAGAAATAAACAGATATTTCACTAATCTAGGGGTCTGCAGCTCATTCCGAGTTCTTCGCAGATGACCACGCGTTTTCACACGATGCCACAAAAATAAACTCTGCCAAAAAAACCCACAGACAATAGAACCTTTTTGCTTTAATAGTTTGGGGGAAGGCAGATTTTTTTGTCCCCTTTTTTTAGAACTTGCATTGATCATGAGTATGAACAAGTTATGTTTGAACAGAAGTTGTAAATTCAAAGAGTAGGAAACAAAAGCAATGCTTGAGTGCCTGTCGACTCAAACTGTGCCACTCAGGTGTACGCTCATTAATACACCATT